TTTTTTTTCTTCTTCTTCTTTATTCTTACTTCAATCTAATAGTTAGAATTATCATTTTGTTGTCTATGATATTATTGTGCCTTATAATTGTATTTTCTATAGCTTGATACTTGCGATTTTTTGTCTAGTCAAATATATTTAAAATAATATTAAAAACTGACAAATACCACTAAAATCACACCAATCCTATCCAAATTGAATTGGTTTATTTATAGTATAATAGTAGATTAGATTGGTTTGTAAATTTTATTAATCGATTAAATTAACTTGGCTTTAAAAATATTAAAATTCAATCTCATTCACACCACAAACACCCCTACATTTGATTAAAATCACCAACTAATAGCTGTTGGTAAAAAGTTAAAACAAACACCAACTAAAGCTGGTGCATGTGTGTTCTTCTCTTTCTTATTTTGATAAAGTACAGTTTTAATTTTTGAGGTTAAAGCCAACTATAGTCCCTTTATTTTAATTTCTGTTCATTATCTTTCCATGTGCTTACAAATCATTGAAAATTCTCCATCTACTCTTTCAAATCATACTGTTATATTCCCTCTACTTTAATTTTTCATAACATTTATCTCCCTCACTTAACATCATTTATCTCTCCCCTAATATCGTTAAATGCATGCAATAGTTTATGTTTCTTTGTTCCATTGTTTTTGTGATCCCATAAAATTTCATGGTATTTTTCTGATGGTGCGACGTGTTTCATCAACGAAAATAAAAAATTATTGCTCCCATCAAAATTCGTACTTCCTCTCTTTTCGACCTTCAAAATTATTATTAACAGCATCCTCTTGCACAAATAATTACATATTTTAGTATTGGCTTTTAGAGAAAAAATAGCCACTTGCAATACTTTAAATAAGAGTAGCTTGGGACAAAAAACATTAGACTTGTTTCTTTTAAATTTAAAAATAAAGAATTTTATATAATTGAAAGCAACATTAATAATTTTGTTGACTCAATGCACTTCAAGAGGGAGTGAATTGGAGTTCAAAAATTTATTCCTTTTGTAACTACAAATTAAAAAACCAAGAGACAAGGGAGGAAAGCTTGTATAAAGATTTTATAGAGGTTCAATCCAAAAAGCTTGCACAAAGATTTTATAGAGATTCAATCCAACCACTTTGCACTTAATCCTCTACCTTGACTTGACTCATCAAGGATTACCTTCACACTCTCCACTAATGCTCAAGAGTAGAAAAAAAAAAAAAGCTACCCAATCCTTTAAAAAAAAAAAAAAAGGTTTTACTCAATTCCACCCCTTTTCAATCTGACCCAACAAACATTACTACTAAGCCGCTCTTAAAAGAATAGATCACACCCCCAAGAAGTCACTCACAAAATAAGATTACAAAATTGCAAGACAAGATCACTTAATAATCAAATATGCAAGTATAAGTATAAAGAATTGAATGTTTGCAAGAGAAACCTCAAGTGGGTTGTTGAAATTCTTCATTGAAGTCTCTAAGAAGTTCATAAGGGCGTCCAACAACCCTATTTATCTTTCTCAGGTCAAAAATAGCCATTTGGGAATGTTAGATTGCATTAAATGCTTTGTAGACTAGTCAAATTTAAAAAATTAGCTGTTACTATATAGTTGAGATTCAAATATAGCTTCCAAGAATCAAATCTTTAAAGTTTAGATTTTTAAAGATTTCACTCTTCAACCTAAGAGTTTAATCTTTAAGAAATTTTGGCACTTGGTTTAAAATGCCTCATTTAACTCAAAAGTCAAATAGAGGAACCAAGATTCAAATATCTTCCCTAAAGATTTGAATCTTCAAGTGAAGATTCGAATCTGCCATTTGCCTTTACAAGTCTTAGCACTTTCTATTTCTTGAGTTGAATCTTTAATTACTGATAGTCGAATCTTCGAGGTCCAAGAGTTGAATATGCATATTAAGAGTTGACTCTTCTGTTGTTTATGCCTTTTGCTTTATTTCAGCTTGAGAGTCTAATGTTTGAATAGGGAATCGAATCTATTTGCTTCAAAGTACGGATGTAGAACCCTATAGTCAAATGTTCATCCATTTTCTGCAATTTTTTAAGTTTTAAATGGAACCATATTAGAGTTATTCAACTACACACTTAAACTCAAATTCATTAAATATTACAAAGAGTTTTGTTATCATCAAAATCACTTAAAGTTCAAAAAATTCATTAAATTCTAAACTCAAATTACCATATTCATATCCTACTATGCCAAAATTTATATACAAGAATACAAAATTTAAAAAGAAAATTAAATTAAAATCAAAACCTACTTCTTCTTGCAAGCCAAATTCAAAATCCTTCAACACACATTCTCCAATTAATCTTGTATTTTTATCAAGTGGACTTTGGCCTAACAAGTACAAACACAAAATCAGATAAAAAACAAAAACAAAGTGATCTAAATCAGAATTAGATTAACAGTGATAAAAGATTGTACTTGAAGAAAAAAGCGATGTAGATTGCTCTAATCGAAGCCAATGATAACCTCCTCAATAAAGTTGTGAATGGGATTGAAATGTCCCCTCTCTCGGAGTAACAATGAGTATTGTATGGACTTTTTATGTGTACAAGTATGGACTTTTATTTTATCTTCTTTTTTAATTTTTTTATTCTTATGTATAAATTTTGGTAGAGCGGAATATGAATATAGTTATCTGTGTTTGGATTTTGATGAATTATTAATGGTGTTTCAGTTTCAATTACACAGTTATTTATGTTCAAATTTAAAAGAAAAAAAGTTTGATGTTTTTTGTGCCCTACAACTTTTGTTTAAACTATTGCAAGTGGATGATTTTATTAATGGTGTGCAAGAGAATACTGTTCTTTTTGAAGGCAAAAAAAGTGCAAGTACGAAATCAATGGGACCGGAAATTTTTTGTTTAGATCAATAGAACACGTGGCATCATGAACAAAATAACCTGTGGAATTTTGTGTGTTCACAAAAACAATGCAAAAATAAATAAATAAATAAATAGATTATTGCATTTAATAGTGTTATAAACGTTTTTAGGGAAGGGAGGTAATGGTGGTAAGGGAGAGAGAGAGGACAATAGTATGGTTTGAAAGAGTAAAGATGGAGGATTTTGAATGATTTATAAATACAAAGAGGACAATGAACAAAACTTGAATATAGATGGACTGTAGTTGGCTTTAACCATAATTATTGCAACATAGGTTTTGTTTTTTGTTTTTTTTGTTTTTAAAGCATTCTTATACTAAAAGAATTTTTCTTTTGATACATC